GTTGGGGGGGGGGGGGGAGATTAAAACGTTCTGCTTTAAAATCAGCATAGCACTGAAGGTGGTGGTTTGGCCACTGACGCACAGCAATGTCTTGGTTTCGTAGGCCTCAGAGGAGGGTTTTCACTGCTAGTGGACTGGAACATGTCACAAGAGATCCAAGGGGCCATGGTCTGCCAAGCTGAAAAGCTGAAGGACAAACCCAAGCCCTTTTATATTACAAGTTAAGATTTGCCCCTAGTTAACTTCTCCAAAACTATGCTTCTCTTCTGACTTGGGGTCTTAAGCTGATGAGTTTAGCTTTCAGTGTCCATGCATAAAGACCCCACCAATATCTGTGTCTTCTCTTTGCAGAAGAGACAAATTCATCTGGCTCCGCAGGCTGGATGAGTGGCAGTCAGTCCACTGGGCCTGTGGACTCCTTCTCCCAGCATACCCGATCCCATGGCTGCTCCAGCCGCTGTGGCTCCTGTGCCATGGAGGGCCTAGATCATGGAGTAGCTGGAACAGGTGCTGAAGTCCAGCCAAAGCAGCAGCCATGCTGCACATGGTGGCCACTCCAACAACTCCCAGACTAAACTGGAAGTGGTGCCTGCTTCAGCCAGCCTGGGATCCACACTGCATGCAGTACCTGCAAAGGCTGCATCAGTGCGGGCCCCAGATTGGCCAAAGCAAGTGCCTTGTGGGGCACAGTCCAGCCAGGGTGGCTGCCTTGTGCCGTGGGCCTCACTGTGCCACATACAGCACCTATTCTGGCTGCATAAGGACCCATCCTGCACAGGTCTCGGACTAGCTGGAGTGGCTACCAGATCAGGTGTGCTGGGGGATGGGGAAGCATTGGCTGGATCCAGCTTGTGAACCAGCCCTGCACCACAGCAAGTCTAATCAAGCTCAGGAACAGCAGTGCGGGCTGGATCTGGCCTTTGGCCATTTGGTCGACACCCCTGATAGAAAGAGTCTGGAATTATTGTATGACTTCAGCAATAGGATGCAAATTTAGAAGTACAATAGCTTTGAAGGCCTCAACTCATTTAAGGATGTGGCAACATCCTGAACAGCCTTAGAAACCTACAGTGCATTTCATGACACAGACACTTATGTCATGTGGGCTCAAATACTTTCCCCAGTGAGATTTAGAAGAGCAAGGAAAGCAAGTCAGAGCCCGGGAGCCCTACTTGCACCTATTCATACTGACTTGCTGCATAACCCCATTAAGTCATTTACTTTTCCTGTCCCAGGCTATAATACCCACAGCCAAGTCTTTATGAAGATTTCTCATGCCATGCCCTCATTTTCAAGCCTTCTGTAGAAGGATTGGGTTAAGTGCTCTGTTGAAAACAAGAGTCAAGAATTGATCTATAGCTCATTCTAGCCACCACACCTCTCTCTGAAGGCTAGGGCTTGTCTATATGGGGACATATGTGCAATCAAGTCTAGGGTGACAGTTCACAGCACATGCAAGGTAGCTTACTTGGTGACCAGAAAATGGAGCATCTATACAGGGAGCTACAGCAGGGTTACCCTGCACAGATTTTACTGAATCAAAAGCCTGTCCAAAGGCTGACTTTACTACCTTATTCCTGAGATATAAGCATGTAAGTGTAGAGTAACTATTGACCACAGTGAGTCTATAACAGGCTGAGATTCCCTTCACACTGAGGCCAGGATACATACTGAGACTCAGTATGTGCCTTGATTTAGGCCAGTGATTCTCAGCCAAAGTGCCAGGGCTTCCCAGGGTGCTGCCAGATTTTTTGAAGGTGCAATGAGGTATGAGGAGATGAGCAGAAAAACTAACCAGGTAAGGCTCAGGCTTGTCCTTGCCTGGAATATCAATCCCTGCTTCCCACTGCCAGGCCTCTCTGCTAGGGAGGTAAGCACTCCAAATTATAAGTTTGTTTTTGAAATGGGGGGGCTGCTCAATTCACACAAATAAATGGTGGGGTGCTTCAAGTTCAAAAAGGTTGAGAACAACCAATTTAGATACTGCTCTTCCTAACTTTTGAGCACCTACCCCAGGAAGGCAATTCAAGACTACCTAGGCTCCCTGTACAGTCAAAGGAAAGAGGTGCCCAGGAAATCCATGCAGGGAATGTGGGAGTACCAAGTGCTCAAGGGCAATTCAGAAGGTCCAGTAGTAGCAGCCAATGGACAGTCCTGTCCAAACACCTACCCGTCTTGGGGACTTGGACACCTGCACAGATACCTAGTCATCCTGTCCAGTCCTACTTGGGGGACAGCCAAGTGAAGGGCTTCTGAAGGCATGTGACTTGGCACACCTAGTCTCACCTGGTATAACAGCACAGAGGAGACAAGGATGGTATTGCTACCCAGGGATCAAAAGATTTGTTCAGATCCGAGTTCCCCCTTATACAACTCGTTGGAACCTTCCCCCCACCCCCCCCCAATGTAACACCATACATATGGTTGGGAAAAGAGACCAGGGTATCCTCCTACTGCCCTCCTCCCTTTCCCCTCCAAATGCTCTATTGAAAGCATTAAGCTACCATACCATACCCCCATTCCTTACTCTTCTGACCCCACAGCCTTCAGCTACCCAATGTCCAAGCATCAACAGGAAGGGTTAAGGGTCCTCCCACTCAAGAAGTGGCCAAGCTATGGGCTGGAGATGAGAGTACAAACCCACACAGGACAAGGGGGACACACCTATGGTTTCCCCATTTCTTAGGGGAATGCTCAAACCACTAACCTATGCAAGACATTGGCACCATGATGAGTTCCAAGCAGAATTTAATGCTGCCAATGACTCTGCCATGGGATTTTCTGCTTCCTGTTCTGGTGGCTTAGGTAGAGTGCAACTGCTTTCCAGAAAAGATTTTCATTATACTGGTTCTTGGGTGGGAGTTGGATGCTGTGTTGAAGTGATCTTTCCTCAAGACTGCACCTGTGCACACACAGAAAACCAGTGCATACAGTGAGGAAGATCTAGTTGGTCACGCAGGCCATGAAGGGAGAGTGTACTTTGGGCAAGGCCACCAGGGATTTGAAAGCCTTATATCTTGAACAGTTCCATTCTTTTTGATGACAGGGAGACAACTACTCGATCAAAGAAACCTGCAAATGAGATGCTCACATCTACAAACAGAAGAAACTTGACCCTCACAGCTGGTTTACTCTGCAGGTATCCCTGAAGGATAGAGATTTAAAATACATTATCCTTTAAAATGGTATCCCTGTGTACTGCATGCTGCAGGTATGCCAGGTTGTTAAAACCCATATATTTCAAGTAACTGATTAGGACTGAGTTAACAGTGTCTAGCCTTAGGGCACTTCTGATGAAGTGAACTCGAGTTCATGAAAGCTTGTGCTCTATCCTATTAGTCTACAAGGTGCATGTGTACCCTGCCTTCAGCCTCAGGGCAATCAGCATTTTTAATCCTTGGAAATGGAGAGAGCAGTGTTGTGGTTTCAGTTCAAAGGCACATTTAGTCTTTGAGGCAACCCACTCTAAGCAATTCATTTTTCTAGCACAAACCAGCAAAAAGCAAGAAACTAGTCATACTAAGACCTAGTATGTATTCAAGTTAACTGCATTCATGTAGGTGATCCTGTGCACTGTTTTCCAGCTCTACATACACTATTCCAGTTCAGTAAGCATAAATGGAAAAATGATGCATGCTTATTTACGGCATTTCAATGTAATGGCTTATGATACTACACTTTAAAAATAAAAAACAGCATTCCAACATGTGTGTCCAGTTTAAAGAAAGTTAAACATAACTGAAGTAAGGAAATCTATTGCACAATGGTTTAGAAGATGGGTGTATTTTGTTTTATTTACCATGTGGACAGTCAAGACTATATGTTAGTCTTTGCTGGAATCAAAGTTATTCAGCCTTTTTTGCATTCAGGTCATGTCAGCTGCAGTTTTGTATACATCTGTACCTACAAGGCATCTAGCTGGACATCTCTAACCTTCCCCATCCCAGTTCTGCTGTTGTAGAAACCTGCAGTGAACATCTTGCAACTGCAAACATTTTTTCATTATTCCTTCCACTGATCCCTTGACTGGAAGAAAAGGGCCGCCTTTTCTTACTTGCCTAGCATAGCAACATCTGGATGTTCAGTTCTGGTTTTTCGGTTCTACCACAATATAAATACAGGTCCAGCATAGGGAGCATGGGTCTCGGAATAACTAGGGGGCCTAGACAAGAAAGCATGAATTGAGACCCAGGACAGTTACTGCTGGTCCAGCAGAGCGATGGGTCCCCGATACCCCCCGCTCCCCGCCAGTCTTTTGGGGGTGAAAAGTAGGAAGCTAGGATAAAAGTCTTAGTAACAGCCTCAGCCCCAGTTGAGCTGTCAAGTTCCTGTTTTCAGTGCTACTAAAGAAACTACAAAAGGGAGAGATCAGGGTAGAGGAAAGACTCTGCATATGCTCCAGGATGAACCCGGGGCTGGCAGTTCCCAAAAAGAAGGAAGATCACATGGGTGTGTGTAAAGAACATGCTCATGACCATGGTTGTGAGCAACCTTTCACCAGCTGCTGCCTGCATAAAGCCACGGAGTTGGAAAGTTAATCATCTGCAAAGCACCACAACATGGCAAGCGAAGTGGGTTAGGTAGACATTGCAGTGGCTCTTCTACACTAAGCATCCTGAGCAACAGAAATCCTGCATTTCTCAGTGTATTTAAGGCATGGCCACTGACCAGGTCAAGTGTGTTTTGGGATACTTGTTAAGGCAACTCCAACCAGGTAACACCACAGGTTTATTCATCTATAGTCACTGCTGTGGAATTATCTACTGCCTTTGTGCTTTCCTCCATGCCATGCACCTCAGATTCCTTAACTGACTTACTATGGATAACATTTTATGTTGGATAACATTAGCCCATAAGCTTCCAATTAGAATACAAAACATGAGCAAGTAGTTTGGTGGCTTAAGATGAAAATTGGATATTAATCACTTAATAGCAGCTTTACCTATGGGACCAGCTGATTTTATAGGTCTTGCAAAGAGTCTGCTTCGGCTACAAGACATAAGCTCAGTCTCACTGCCAGGAATTATTTTGAGCAACAAAGATAAATGTAGTCTCATAGCTGTCACTTTAAGAATGGCAGCCAGACCCCCACCCCCCACCCTGTGTGAATGCAGGTTTGCAGACAAAGTTTGACACCACAGTAATCATTCAGTATTAAAAAAAATAAAAATAGACTGGAGTAACTTGTCTTCTGGTATCCCCAAAACAAGAGTTGCTTCATTGTGGGACTCTGGGTGAAAACACATACCCAGGTGCTTAGAAGAGGGAATAAGAACACTAGATCTACATACATTTTATGATAAACCCAACTGCAGCTTATTCAGCTTTCCTGGTTTACTGTCCTCCACCCTCCTGTCGAGAGTAATCGGAGCAAGAGCAGAAAGGCACGTCGTTCACACTGAACACGGATTCTTAGCTAGTTGGCTGCAAGGACTCTGCTAAGCAAACATCTCTCCTTGAAACACCACTTCCACAGCAAAAGGGCCTCTTGAGAACTCATCCCAAGTGGTGCTCCGTTAGCGTATGACCGGTTCTCTTGGCTAGGAAGGGGGTATCTAGCAGATAGGTTAGCACTGCTGCATTAGTCTCGTGGCGGGGGAAGGGTGAGACAGCTGCTCAGTTCCCTCTTCTCTCCAATATTGCATTTTGCACCATTGTATAATTTTAATGAAGGAGCCTTTTAGATGGAAGCAGTCAGGCTCAAGCTTGAGCCTGGAGGGTTACAAAAGAAGGACTTGTCTGGGCCCTGCACACAGAGGATTAAAAGTCAAATAGCACTACGGTACCAGAGACCCTTCCCCAGGTACAGAACAGAAGCAATGCCACCCCTGAAGCACTTTAGGCTGCTGGAAGTGAGAATTATCCTTCCCTAGCTTGACTGTGCCTTACTTACTGCTCCCCACCCCCACCCTTCAAATACTATTAGGCAGATGAGATATCTGCAATGCTACCAATATAGCAATACTATTAAATACTCTGATGTTGCTGCATTATGTTGAATGCCAGGATGTTATTAATAAGCCTAAATCAGCTGGGTTGAGAGCAGCAGAAGCAGTCGATTGCTCTAAAACAAGCCTTGCTGAGGAAGGGTCACAGCATGCGCCAATTAAGCAAGCAGTACAGCCACCTCTGCATTTTCCCCTCCGAGACTCCTGGGGGAAACACTATCACACACAACTGGGTGGGGCATGTGCACTAGAAAGCATGCTTGGGTTCAAACAAGTCAGGAGGCTTTGTTCTGAACTCTCGGGAGTTTATTGCTGCTGTTGGCCAGTGGCTAAGAAACAACAGCTTGGACTGCCGAATCACTCCTCTGGGACCATCAAGCCACCGTCTGCACAGGCCGCCGTATTCATGCCTGTCCCTCCCCCCTGACAGGAAGCAATACTGCTTCCATGCTGTGTATTTTTATAAAGCTGCCTCAAGTTCATGGTCTGGGAGCGAAGAGTCAACCCTTCAAAACTTTGAGGCTAGTTTAGTTCATGCTGCAAGTCACCAAGGAAAAGCAGAACAACGGAGCACAGGCTCCGAACACACAAATGGTCTTAAATATTCTCTGAAGGGGTTTTTTTTTTTTTTTTTTAACCAAAGTCTGTGTGTATTATGAGAAATAGGAAACGAACTGGCACAGCAATCTGTTTAACTGGTCTGGAGTAAGGCAGCAAGTGACTAAATTGCTGCTTTCTGGATGTGGTCCAGAGACTGATCGTATATTCAAGGACAAAGAAAGGTGTGGGGGGCAGTACGACTCCCAAGTGTGAGCACAGCATTTATGCTTCAGTAAAGCAAAACACACCAATCAAGTGGGTTCAGACCCCAGTTAGGTCACTTATTTATTTGGCACATCAGGTGATATCTTGAGACTTAAAAAACAAGCCCATTAAGTGAATAAATACTGCAAGCAGAAGTAACCCAGGCAGGCCAGCCGAGGAGAGGAAAATATGCAGGGTCAGCAAAACACTGCTTTCATATTCAGTTACAAAAACATTGGAGCTCCCTTTTAAAACAAGAGGAGGAAACAGAGCTAAAACGGAGAAACCCCAGCTAAGACTGGGGTCCTTAATCTCCCTGCAACAATGACACAAGCACTCAAGATCCAGTTTATCAAACCAGTTCAGAACTATAGGCTTTCCTGTACAGCTGCCCTCTTTTTTAAAGAAAAAAAAAGAAAACCAAAAAAAACCCAACAACCCTCTTTACCATCAAGGCAGGTCTTTGATGACACCAGAATCTCTCATCCTGCTCCTGGCCTGCAAGAACTGCAAAGTGCATTGAACTCCCCCTTCCTGCCTCGCCCAAGCTCACATCATTTAGCCCATTACTAGGTCTTGTAGACAGCAAGCTCTCTGGGGCAGGAACCTCTTTCAATGTGCTTAGTGCTACACAAACACCTTGGGCCCAGATCAGACTGGCTTCTAGACCACGAACAAGCAATGGGTAATGCTAGTTAGCAATATCAAAGTTTACTCTTTAGGACTTTGCTTTACAAAGCAGCTCGCTCCAGCATTTAGCAGACAGCGCCCACCTGACAATAGGATAAGGGCTGGGAACATTATTCTAGACCATCTCTGTAGTTTTTTGTTTGTTTGTGTTTTTTTGGAAAGCATTTCAATGTTATAGCATCTGCCATCACTGATCACAGGCAGTTTAAAAGTTGCATTTCAATGATGTCACCAAGAACAAGCTGGGACAACCAAAACTGCTGCTACTGTGATTGGGAGCATCATGCCCTAGCAGACCACATGCTAATGTAAAGCCAAACCAGTGAACCAAGACCGGAACAAATTAGAGTTTCACACTAAACCAAAATCAACTCATTATTAAGCCAAGATGAGCCTGATGTTGTGTCCTGAAGCTTGCCAACATC